GCTGTCAGCGAGCGCCTATTAAGATCTATTCAGGCCGGCACGGCACACAATAGGGTGGGTGGCCAGCACCCCACGCCCGGTTGCCTTTGTCTTCCAAACCACAGCCACACAAATTCAGGCACAGGAAGATGCACGCTCACACGCAAGCTCACACTCGCACGCACGCTCACAGGCACGCTCACAGGCACGCTCACAGGCACGCTCACCGGCACGTTCACAGGCACGCTCACAGGCACGCTCACACTCACGTTCACAGGCACGTTCACAGGCACGTTCACAAGCACGCTCACAGGCACGTTCACAAGCATGTTCACAGGCACGTTCACAAGCACGTTCACACTCGCACGCACGTTCACAGCCACGTTCACAGGCAAAGGCACGCTCACAGGCACGCTCACAGGCACACGCACGTACGTTCACAGCCACATTCACAGGCACGCTCACAGGCACACGCTCGTACCGCTCACGCTCGCACGCACGCATGCATACACGCTCGCTCGCACGCGCGCACACGCTCGCTCGCACGCACGCACGCATGCACGCAGGCAGGCACGCTCACAGGCACGGTCGCCCACATAGACCCACACAAACAGCTACGCGCATGCATGCGTGCGTGCGCACACACGCTCGGCCTCTGCTTAATATGCAACAGTGACATCTACAGCGAGAAGGCACGGGCACTCGGAGAGAAATAGAGAGAGGAGAGAGAGGGGAGAGAGAGAAGAGAGAGAAATTAAAAGCCTGAAAGAAAGGTTATCTTGCCGTTACAGGCCAATAAGGCTATGCAAATTCCCTGTGAAGATGAGCGAGGGATTAAGCGATTCAAAGGCTCCGGCGATTCCGGCGATGGGGGTTAATTTGCAGGGACGGGATCGGCGCGTCAAACGGAGGCCGGTGTGATACTGAGCACTCCACCCCCCCGGCCTCCCCCCCCCCCCGGCCTCCCCCCCCCGGCTCCCCTCCGCCCCCCCCCCCAACGCCGGGCAGCTCCGGCCATCACCGCGCTGTAACCGCGGGCCGGGCGGCGTCTTCGATCCGGCGATCGCCAGCAACTCGTCCGCGCGGCTCCAATGACCGTTTGTCTCTCATGCGCAGTAGTCACACAGATCCCCCGTCTAACCTTCACAGACTGTTGGGGCGAGTCCTGTTAGCGAGTTGGGCATCGCCACTACGGTGTGTAGTGAACATCACCGCTGTCTCCCCAGCGGTGATGTTCACTACACGCCGCGCCAAAGATTAATATGGGGCCGAGTCAACCCCGGGGCGACCGCAGGAATCGTTTCAGACAATCGTCGCTGGTGTGGGCCGTGAGCGGGAATCGAACTCGGGTGGCCGGGTTCGTAGCGCAGCGTCGCGCAGACCGCCACACCACGACACGGTCAAGTTGCTGGACTCACTAATTAACTTGGGTCACTCACTCACTGGCAGTTCAGTCAACTCCTCGTCGCCTTTCTGTAGCTGCCGTGTTCCCGTGCACTGCACTCTCGTTGATGCCTCCCCCCCCCCCCGTGTTGAGGACTCGGGTCGAATTTTGGTGGCGGCCGACATCCGAGCCGGATCACCAACCCCGCTCAACCAGCAGGGCGGCGTGGGGGGGGAGGGGGGCACTTCGTCCAGCAGTGGATTGAGCTCGGTCGCAATCGATCGTCGTTATTTATTTGCGTCAAACAAAGTGTGCGCGTTGCGAGCAGCGCGCAGCCGCCACAAGGTCACAGCGTGCGGTGCACACGGGAAATTAAGTGCGAGAGAGAGGGAGGGCGGGAGAGAGGGAGAGAGGCAGGCACAGCTACGGCCACTGCACAGAGAATACTAAGAGGCGGAGAGACCGCGCAAGCGGCACACACGCAGCACACAGCACGCACGTGGCACGCACGCAGGACGCACGCAGGACGCACGCAGGACGCAGCACACACACGGCACACACGCAAGACACACACGGCACGCACGCTGCACACACTGTGGTACACACACAGCACACCACGCACGCATCACACACGCATCACATACACGGCACACCACGCACGCATCACATACACGGCACACCACACACGCATCACACACACGCATCACACACATGGCACACACCACACACGCATCACACACACGGCACGCACGCAAGGCACACACGCGGCCAAGCAATGCCGCTTCTGCATGGATTCACAACAACACCGACAATAACCACTCTGTTAGTCCAGTTAAGACAAAAGATCTCCTGTATAGCCTAAACAGAGTTTTGGGGCAAGTGCCATTAGCGAGCACCAATGGAGGGGGTGGGTGGCCAGCCTTTGTCTCCCCAGTGGCGATGTCTACACACTGCACCAGGTACTCATTTGAGGCCAAGTCGACCTAGGGGAGGCCCAGGACCGGTTCAACTAATCGTCACCGGTGTTGGTGGCCATGAACGGGATTCATAGCGCGGATCACCCCGATACACACACACACACAAGACAAAGACCACCCGTATAGCCCGAACAGACTTTTGGGGCAAGTGCTGTTAGCGAGCACACGCAGACAGACACTCTCGCGCAAGCGTGCACATTAAACCGCCAACGGTGCCCGCACGGACTCGGCCAGACAGTCGGGAGCGGCAGGCAGGACGACCTATCACGCACAGACCCAATCAGGAGCCCTCGAATCAATTATCTCGGACGGGGGAGCGTGGCGACGGTGGCGGCGCGAGAGAGAGAGAGCCACGCTGCTGCCCCTAATCTCCGGCCTCATTACCCGCTCATCTGCAAGTCAGAAAAGAAGCCCCCTGCTTTGCATGTTAATGACCCCCCCCCCCTCGTCCCTCCACCCTCCTCCCCCACCATCCCCTCGCCTTCCCTCGCCTTGCCTGTAATCAGCATCTAGGCAGGATCGAGGCACGCCGGGCTCCGAGTGTTCAATTATGCGCGGCAGTTAAAAACCAAGGCCTCCTTTTTTGTGTTGTTTTTGTGCGCGTGTTGAATGCGCCCGGGGAAAGTGAGGTCCGGTTCATACGCAGAGTGGAGCGGGCGACGCGCGCCGTGCCCCAGCTCCTCCGCGTGTGCGTGCGTGCGTGTGCGTTCGTGCGTGTTCGTGCGTGCATCTCACCAAGGAGCATAAACCACCTGGCGAGCTCCGGTCATCTTTGCAGCAGCAGCAGCAGCGGCTTTTGGCTGGACGTCGGACAAAGACGGTGTGGTCACCGCATCGCGCAGCGCTTTAAGATGCGCTTCTGCGGCCGTCTGGAACGCTCTTCCTTCCGATATTAGGAAGCCACTCGAGACATCCACTTTTAAATCATCTCGATTAAAAACGAATTTCTTCAGAACTGCTTTTTGTATGTTAGTTTGTTGTCCTCCACTCGCACCTCGGATTAGCGCGTTGGCTACATACGGTGCGAAAGAAGTTCAACATCATACATACCTTTTGATTTAAAGCTTTCGTGACCTTAGGGATTCATATTCTTGGTTCTTTCGGTAAAGTCACGTTTCCCTTCTACGTGACTTTACCGAAAGAACCAAGAATATCATACATGCCGTGCGTGCGTGCGTATGTTTTTCTTTAAGTGCCTCTATGACTGTGTGTGTCAGCACACACAAGCCTGTAAATGGGCGTGTGTGGGCATGCACCTGTGAACACATGAAATCTGTGCGTGTTTCTACATGGGTCTGTGTATGTATGTGTGTGGTGAGCGGTAGTGTAGCGGTTAGCGCTACGCTGCGCTACAGACCTGGTGACCCAAGTTCAACTGCCGCTCACGACCAACACGAGTGACGAGTATCTGAACAGGTCCTGGGCCCTTCCTAGGTCGACTCAGCCTCAAATGAGTACCTGGTGCGATGTGTAATCATCGCCACTGGGGAGACAAAGGCGGCCGGGCGTGGTGTTGGCCACCCACCCCCTCGTGTGCCGTGCTCGCCTTCATAGGTGCTCGCTAACAGCACTTGCCCCTACAGTCTGGTATAGGCTTTAAGGGGGATCTTTGTCTTTTTTATGTATGTGTGTGTGTATGTAGGTGTATGTATGTGTGTATGTGTGTGTGTATATGTGTGTGTGTATGTAGCAATCGAAACCGGCGACCCGAGTTCGATTGCCGCTCACGGCCAACGCCACCAGTGACGATTAACCGAACCGGTCCTTGGGCCTCCCCTAGGTCGACTCAGTCTCAAATGAGTATCTGGTGTGGAAACATTAGTATTGGGGAGACAAAGACGGCCGGGTATGGTGTGCGTCCGTGTCGGCCTTGACAGGTGCGACTCGCTAACAGCGCTTGCCCCAACAGTCTGTAAAGTCTACACGGGGGACCTTTGTCTTTGTGCCCATGTGCCACCACACACAGCGGGAGGACTCTCACGGCTCTCGTGTTATTCAAACACTCTGGCACAGCCCCCCCCAGCCTCCCCCACCCACCCCCAGCCCCCCCCCAGCCCCCCACCCCCCACCCCAACATGAACCACACGCGACTGCCCATGATCCGGCACCGTACAGGCAGCAGCGAGGGATCACACACAGACGTTGCCAAACTCCATTCTATGAGTGGAAGTCGATGAGGAGCCGCACCCCGGCTCGCCAGGAGAAGGAGGTGCAGCAACGATGCGGACCGATATCACCTCTCCCTTCTGCGTGGGATACAGCGCTGCCATCTGCCACTATATAAATCTATTCAAGATAAGGAATGGCTCAAGAGGCCCAAAATAACGTCAAGCGGCCAGCAACGAACAGGAAGGATTTGTTTTCACAGCATGGGGGAAAACAGACGGTGATGGTGACAATGATGATGATGGGAGGAGGGGATTCCGAAGTGGAGCAAGGCTAGGGAAGAAGCAGAGAGAGATAAGCGAGGTGACCTGCAGTATGGTGAGCGGGTAGGTGGGTGAGTAGGTGACCGAGTTGGCGAGCGAGTGGGTGAGTGGGTTCGTGAGTAAGTGGGTGGGTGTGTTGCTGTGACCTGCAGTGTGGTGAGTGAGCGAGTGGGTGAGCGAGTTGGTGATTGAGTGGGTGAGCGGCGTGTGCACGTGTTAGCATTTGCTCACCTGTGGAGTTGGGCCCCATGTGCCCTGGGACGGAGTAGGGTGGGCCCCCTTGATTCATCATGGCCGGGCCGCCCCCACTCAGCTGCTGCTGCTGCTGCCCGTAAGGAGAGCCTCCTCCCATCATTCCTCCCGCCTGGTTCATGCCTTGGTAGCCGCTTTGCCTGCACCCAGGGGTAAAGGCACAGATCCCCCGTGTAACTTTAACAGACATGTTGGGGCAAGTGCTGTTAGCGAGCAGCACCTATGAAGGCCGGCACGCCACACGAGGGGGTGGGTGGCCGGCACCACCTCGGGGCGATGTTTACACACCGCACCAGGTACTCGTTTGAGACCGAGCCGACCTAGGGGAGGAGTCCCAGGATCATTGCAGATAATTCACTGGTGTTGGTCATGAGCGAGAATCTAGCTCGGGTCACCGGGTTCCTAGCGCAGCGTGCTAGCCGCTGCACTCCCGCTCTCCACCCAGGGGCGCACACAGACACACACAGTCACCCACTGCCCCGTGGCATCTCACATCCCCACTGATAATTCAATTAATTATCGCAATTTATAATAACTAGCAACCCACACGTCCTTTCGACGTGACAGTCTGTCCCTCCCAGCCAGCAAAACTTTTAATCTGATACCAAGCCCCGTCTCTTTCCACCTTACCCGTGCCTTCTCTGTACTTGACATCGCAATTCATCACGATTTCTTACTCTGTCTCTCAATTCCTCTCCTCCCTCCCTCTTCATTCCTCTCCTCCCTCCACTGCATCTCAGCCACTTCCCTCCCCGCCCCCCCAACCTCTCTCCGTTTCTCTCTCTCTCTCCGTTTCTCACCCTTGCTCTCCTTATGCCCTGCTCTCCCATCTCAAGTCTCTCTTGCCTCTTCCCTAACCCCTCTCTCCCACTGCTCGTCGATTTCCCCTCGCTCTCCTCTTTCCGGTTTGCTCATTTTCCTCTCCGAGTGACGACGCCCTTTCACTCTCTTCTCCCCACCCCTCTCCCCCCTTACATTGTTTTCCCGATTTTCCTCCCTTCTCTACCTCCCTCGCCTCCCCCCTTTGTTCTAATATAGCATGGTGGTATTATCGTGAAAGCATGGTGGTATTATCGTGAAAGCACGATTTGCGTGAGATACACATCCCATCGTTGTGGGATCCACACTTGGCCGTGCTCCAGCCACAGCCAGGCAGACAGGAATCCAGGCATGACGCTTTTTTTTCCTAATATACAGCAACAAGGCTATCCCGAAGGCATTGCTATGGTTCACAGACACGGTGTGCGGTAGTGTCACAGCAAGGGGGGGGGGGGGGCGATGTTGATTACGTGGTCGAGCCTAGTGCACCCCCAGTAGCAGCTATACCTGTGCATTAGTCTGCCAGTAGGGGGGCGATGTTGATCTGTGTAGTTCCAATTGAGTAGTTTGTGGTGTGGGTTTTTCACCTTCATCAAATGGGGACCCGTGGTGTCGGCACAGTGGGCTGCTTCGTTTCTAATGACCTCACGAGATCCTCAAAGTACTCTTTGGTTCTTTCGGTAAAGTCACGTAGGTGGAGGAGTAGTTCATAGTTCATAGTTCCATTTATTTGGTATAGCCCCGCGAGCCATTCGGCTCTTGAATCGGGTGCAAACGCAACAAACAAAAAACATGAACAAGAAAAACATCTTAAAGTGACTATGTGACTGTGCAAACAGAAAATCCAGGAAAAAAATCAAAATATTCCTGAAATAGCACTGTACACCAACGCTGTCGGCAAAAATCCCAGTGGGATTCAAGTCAAACAACAACAACCACAAGACAACAAGATTAAGGCCATCAGTCTAACTCCGTACTACAATAAACAAAAACATGGCCAAACCAAAAAAGTTTTCGAAATCACCAAAATAAAGCCACAAATGCAATGTAACAGTAGAGTGGTGACGGGATGTCACGCTCGCCTCGGGAGGAATGACGTCATGTCCCCTCGGTGTATTTGTGACGTGGACGAGGTCTTTGCCAGGAGCCGGGTTCGTGAGCGGTAGGGAAGTGGGGGCCCAGGGTAGGGGAGCAGTGGGGACCCAGGGTAGGGGAGAAGTAGCACCAGGCTAGGGGGGGCTACTTTACCCGGCTGGCCGAGTTGGTTGAACCATCGGTCAAGCGCTGTGGGAAGAGCCCGTCAGCCTGGGACGCGTAGGGATTCCCAGTACCCTTTCCCCTGGGGAGATTAGCTTAGCCCAATTCTTGTATTACCCCTTCCCCTGAACCCTGGCGGGAAGCCCGTCATAAACAGTTTGGCGTCAGCCCCGACAACGACTGCTCTTCGTGTCGTCTTTACACCACAACATACGTATAAAAGAAAATAACTCACGACGACTTTTATTTTATTTTGTCTAACTACATGACTTTACCGAAAGAACCAAAGAGTATGGATCCCTGCAATCACGAAAGCTTCAAATCAAGATTGAGATCTTCACCGTCCACTCGTGAAGCAGACGAGGCATATGGATTGGGGGTGGGTTCGATCCCGACCCTGGCGCCTGTATGTTTGGAGTTTGCGGTGTCTCTCTCTCCCTGTTGTCACGTGGATTTTTCTCGGGTCCTCCGGTTTTTCCCTCCACAATTTAGAATCAGTCTCCGTTGAGAGCATTTGGCCGCTATACGGTGATAAGCCACTTCGATGAGCTGTCATTTGTGGCCAGGTCGCCTCTGAAAATGAGCTACGTAGCTCAGTGGGCCTTACCTGGTAAAAAAAAAAAATACTTTTTTATAGTTCATAAGAGGTTTGTTTTGGGTTCGATCGCATAAATATAAGTGTGTTGTTAAATCCGCCACCACCCACACAGCCAATTAGTAAGGTTTGTCGTGTAAACAGAACATGCCAATTAGTTACTAATTTAGTACTCCTGTGTGTTGGAGAGTAAACCCACGACATTTACAATTCGAGCAGCGTGACGTTTCGCCAGCAATGACAACCGGCATCGTCAGGCGACAGCTTTATTTGTGGAGAAATCTTCCTTTTTCGTTCTTTAAATAGAGGGGACAATAAATGCGACCTTGCCACTTGTGAGCCAATCAGATGCGAAGGGCAGAGGAGGGATTTCTCGACAACTCTGGCCGTCGCCTGACAGTCGCACACATTTTGACTGCAGGTAAAGTCACGCAGACAGACAAATAACGCAAATAATAATTAAAAATCGACGTTTCGATCGCAACGCAGGCGATCGTCTTCAGGTGCAACAATACAGCAGGCGGACTGCTGAGGCAGGAAGAAATGTAGCTGCTGCATTGTTTCACCTGAAGGCGGTCGCTTGTGATTTGCCATCGAAACGTCGTGATGTTTTATTATTTGATTATTTTTCCATCTACGTAACTTTACCGAAAGACCCAAAGAGTAGTCGCATGCATACTATGGTTGCCACACAACGCCGTAACAACCAGGGGCGGCTCGCCCCGATTGGAACCGCGAGCCTGCCGAGAGGAAAAGCGAGAGGGTGACCCAGACACAGACCCAGGGTTCAAAACGCAGGGCCCTCACTGGCGTGGGCTTGGCAAGTCCCTGACACGGCCATTATGAGCCCCCCCCCCCCCCCCCCCACAACTGGCGGATCCACCGGGGCCACGACACACCGCAGTAGGGGGGTGGGGGGAGAGGGGGGGGGCGGCGAAAGAAAAAAAACCTCCACAACGCAAAGGATTAAATAATAATTACTAAATAAACTCCAAACACGTGGCCCGGTGCACGAGGCTTTCTTTGATTGCAGCGCTCGGCCCGCGGCCCCCCTCACCCCCCCCTCACCCCCCCTCACCCCACGGCCCCCCTCACCGCCCCATCACCCCCCCTCACCCCTCACCCCACTCGGGTGAGGAGCGGGGGGGGGGAGCCGTGGGTTGTATTTGGACGGAACCGAGCTGCCGAGTCGCGAGCGGCCTCCTCCCTGTGATGTAGCATTCCGTTTGTAGGGCGCCAGCGACACGCGCGTCGAGCGGGGGACCAAGAGGGGAGGGGGAGAGGAGAGGAAGAATCCTTTCTTTGAGGCGGCTCGCACACGCTGGCGCTAAACAGTGGGCTACCTGCCGTCTCTAATCGGACAATTAAGCAGCGAATCAAATACGTGCGCACATGCGCGCGTGCGTGCGTGTGTGTGTGTACACAACAAAGACAAACAAAGATCGCCCGTAATAGCCTAAACAGACTTGTGGGACCGGCACGGCACACGAGGGGGTAGGTGGCCCAGCACCACGTCCGTCCGCCTTTGTCCCCCCAGTGGCGATGTTTATACACGGCACCAGGTGCTCATTTGAGGCCGAGTCGACCTTGGGGAGGCCCAGGGCCGGTTCAGATAATCGTCACCGGTGTTGGCCGTGAGCGGGAATCGAATTCGAGTCTCCGGGTTCAAAACGCAGCGCGCTGACCGCTGCACCACCGCCACACACTCACACTCCCGCACACTCCCGCACACACACACACACACTCCCGCACACACACTCACGCACACCCGCACACACACTCACGCACACCCGCACACACAATCACACACACTCACACACACTCACGCACACCCGCACACACAATCACACACACTCACACACACTCCCGCACACACACACACAATCACGCACACACACTCACGCACACTCACACACACACTCACACACACACTCCCGCACACACACATACTCACGCACACTCACACACTCACGCACACTCACACACTCACGCACACACACACACACACTCCCGCACACACACACACACACTCGCACACACACACACACTCACGCACACACACTCGCACACACACTCACGCACACTCACACACACACTCGCGCACACACACACACACTCACGCACACTCACACACACACTCGCACACACACACACAATCACGCACACTCACACACACACACGCTCACACACACTCACACACACACACGCTCACACACACTCACTCACACACACACACACTCACGCACACTCACACACACACTCACGCACACTCACACACCCGCCACTCGGCCAAGTTAACCACACAAAGGTGTTAACATCGACGGCGGGATCGAGCGCGACCACAAGCCGCTCCGTAGGGATGGGAACAAAGACCGGCAAGCGGCGACGCTGCCGAACGTCGAGCCGGATCGATACGACGGCCCTCCGGCAGTGCCAGGCTAGGTGCACTTTCCCGCTGCCGCCCTCCATATGCGACGAGAGGCAGAGAAGCGACGCTCACAACAACCGGCGGGAGGGCTGCCACCGTGGCATACCGGTCGGCGTGCTGGCAGTTGAAACGATGCACCGAGTTTCTTAAATCTACACCCACCCCCACCACCTGTGTCCATCCACCCAGCGGTGTAAACAGGTTCACCAGACAGTTGATCGGCAGGGCACACGAGGGGATAGGTGGGCTAGCACCACGTCCGTCCGCCTTTGTCTCCCCAGTGGCGATGTTCACACACCGCACCAGGTGCTCATTTGAGGCAGAGTCGACCTCGGGGAGGCCCAGCACCGGGTCAACCGGAGGCGGGGTCCAGTGTGGGCACGCCCACCTCCTCCAACACGTCTGGTTGAAGTGGAAGATCAGGCCAAACACCACTCCACCGCTCGGTCCTCCAGCGGACAGCGTCGCGAGCAAGCAACTGCAAGTCAGCGCCTTTAACCTTTGCGACCGAGAGATGAGCACGCAGGAACCACGTGGCGGTGACCCCAGGACCTGCACCGCGCGGTTTGCACGTCCGCCGTGCCTGCGCAGTCAGCGCGCGTTCATGACTCGTGTTCCGCTGGAACCGGCCACCGGAATCGGTTACCGGCGCATGTCCATATGTTACCGTGCGTGCGTACACGTGTGTACGCACGCACGGTAACATATGTGTACGTGCGTACACACGTGCGTACACGTGTGTACGCACGTGCACGTGTATCCGTGCACGTGCGTAAACGTGTGCGCGTTGCCCCCCAGCCCTCCCGGATCGCGTACCCGTACTGCTCGTGCTGGTGCAGCATGGAGGCTTGCGCCTGGGCGTTGCCGTAGTTGGGGTGTTGTGGCGGGTACATGGGCCGCACGGTGGGGCCGGGCTGGGCCGGGTAGCTCTGCGGCTGAGGGCGGCTGTACTGCGGCCTGCGCGTCACACGAGAGCGGGGGGCCGGCGGTCAGCGCGAGGGTGCGCAGCGCGCGCGAGCACGCAGATACACGCGCCCATGCATGCAGACGCACGCACACGCACATGCCCACAGACACACACATGCCCACAGACACACACATGCCCACAGACACACACATGCCCACAGACACACACATGCCCACAGACACACACATGCCCACAGACACACACATGCCCACAGACACACACATGCCCACAGACACACACATGCCCACAGACACACACATGCCCACAGACACACACATGCCCACAGACACACACATGCCCACAGACACACACATGCCCACAGACACACACATGCCCACAGACACACACATGCCCACAGACACGCACATGCCCACAGACACACACATGCCCACAGACACACACACGCACACCCGCGCACGCAGAACCACGCATGAACACGCACGCACATGCCACAACAACAGCAGAAGCCGCCATTCGCCACTAAGTGGCTGTGATGTCACCACGGCGCTTGCGCCAGGCCAGATGCACTTTGAGGCCGTCGCTTAAAGTGCGAAAGACTCGCTGCCGGCGGGAAGACACGGGACAAACCCAGGTGTCATCGGTTAACTCAGATGACTGGCAGATACACCGAAGACAAAGATCCCCCGTATAGCCTTAACAGACTGTAGAAGGAAATTACGTTAGCGAGCCAACACCGTGCCCAGCCGCCTTTGTCTCCCCAATGGCGATGTTTACACACCACACCAGGTACTCATTTGAGGCCGAGTCGACCTACGGGAGGCCCAGACCGGTTCAGATAATAGTCACCGGTGTTGGCCGTGAGCGGGAATTGAATTCAGGTCGCCGGGTTTGTAGCGCAGCTCCTCCACAGAGCACACACGGACAGACATCCACGCCGGGCTTCACCAAGCCTCAGGACACACATCATGGGCAGGGCCCAGGAGCTGCCCCCTGCCCCCTGCCCCCCGCCCCCCTGCCCCCGTAGACACTACCTGCTATGCGTCGAGTTGGCCGCCGCCTGCATGACCGCTGCGGCCGCCTCCTGCGCCTTGCGGTTGATGCCGGACGAGGGAGGCCCCATCCCGACGCTGCCCTGACCCAGGGCGATGCCCCCGGCGGCCATGGGCAGGCCGCCCGCCTGGCCCACGACCCCGGGGCCTTGACCCGGGCCCGGCGTCCCCGCTCCTCCTCCGCCCCCTCCCATGCTGTTGCTGCCCAGGCCGTGGCCGCCGCCGCCGCCGCCCATGGCGCTGTTCGGCAGCATGGAGGAGAGGCCGGCGTGCCCAGGCATGCTGTTCGCGGGGCCGCCCATGGCCTGGTTGTAGGGCCGGCCCTGCAGGCCCGAGGGCGGGCCCCGGCCCACGGCTCCCATGCCGCCGTAGGCCTGGGCGGGCCCCGACGCCTGCATGCTGCTGTTGCCGGCCATGCCCATGGCGGGGCCGGTGCCGGCGTAGGCCGCCGCGTTGGGCATGTTGCCGTAGCCGGACGGGCGCTGGTAATTTCCTGCGGGAGCGGAGAGAGCGACGGACGACGCCAAGGTTGGCGGACGAGGTCGGCGACGGGGTGCGGGAAAGAAACGTGCCCCTGCGTGGCGCTCACGCCAGAGGCGACTTCGCAAGGCGAGGCCTTCGAGTTTCAGGCAACAGTTTTGATCAACTTGGCCGGCTGTCTCTCGGCTAAGTTTGAGTGGCAGCTCAACTTTGCACTCGAGTTTCGCTCGCACTGCGTCTCACCTTCACGGAGTTGTCGTGCTCTCCCCCCTCACCCCATAACAGACAGATGGGCAGACAGAAAGAAAGGATCCCCCGTATAGCCTTTAACAGCCTGTTCAGAGAAAGCGCTGCGAGCGAGCACCTATTAAGGCCGGCACGGCACACGAGGGAGTGGTTGTGGCGAGCACCGCGCTCGGCCGACTGTCTCCCCACTGCTGACGTTTACACACTGCAATAGGGACTCATTTAAGGCGGACCCAGGGGAGGCCCGGGTCCGGTTCGTTACCGACGTTGGTCGCAAGCAGGAATGGAACTCGGCTCGCCGGACCGCGTGAGCGCGAGCACCCTGGGCGCCGCGCGGCGTCTCGGCCACCGCAACCGTACCCCCCCCCCCCCATCGGTGTTGCCGCCCTGTGCCAGCACGCGGCCGCGGTCAAACGGCCGAGGCCTGCGTCCGTGTCGGAAAAAAATGGCCCCCTCCCTCCCGCCACCCAGCCCCGTTGCGTCAGCCCCACCTTGCTGCGGTCCGTACAGGCCTCCCCCTGGCTGGGGAGGGTACCCCCCCGGGCCCCCGGAGGGCGGGTAAGGCCCCAGGGCGGCCGCGTGCATCTGGGGCCCGGCCGGGGAGGGCCGGGGCGAGAGGGCCGATGGGCCTCCCTGCTGGGGCCCGAACTGAGAGTTGCGCTGCATGAAGCCTGTGTAAGGCAAGCGGGGACACGCGCACACGTGTACGCGTGGACACGCGTACGGACACACATGGACACGCGCACACGTGTACGCGCGCACGGACACACGTGGACACTCGCACGGACACACATGGACACGCGCACACGTGTACGCGCGCACAGATACGCGTGGACACGCGTACGGACACACATGGACACGCGCACACGTGTACGCGCGCACGGATACGCGTGGACACGCGTACGGACACACATGGACACGCGCACACGTGTACGCGCGCACGGATACGCGTGGACACGCGTACGGACACACATGGACACGCGCACACGTGTACGCGCGCACGGATACGCGTGGACACGCGTACGGACACACATGGACACGCGCACACGTGTACGCGCGCACGGATACGCGTGGACACGCGTACGGACACACATGGACACGCGCACACGTGTACGCGCGCACGGATACGCGTGGACACGCGTACGGACACACATGGACACGCGCACACGTGTACGCGCGCACGGATACGTGTGGACACGCGTACGGATACACGTGGACACGCGTACGGATACACATGGACACGCGTACGGACACACATGGACACTTGCACACACATGTACGTACACATGTACATGTGTACAGACACACATGGACACTTGCACACACATATGCACATACGTATACACAAGCGTATAATACAGATAAGTATAGACATGGACACATGCACACACATGTACAGCATGCACATATACACATGAATACACATGTACAGACACACACACGGCCACACAGGTATACAGACACGTACACAGGCATGTACACTTATACGCGCAGAAACAATGACAAACACACACAAAACACACACACATGGACATGAACACACATCCACATGGACACAAATAATCACACATATCAAACACACAAGGCCATACACACATAAGAACACACATGCACACACATGCACACACATACAGAAATAAGCAACATGTATTCACAGACACGTATGACAGGAACACAAAAGTACACATAAATAAACACAAATGTAAACACAGACGCACGCATAATGTACACACATGCATGAACACACACAATCCACCCACACGCATCGATCAACACTCACGCACACAGCCGTTCATGCACACACAATCATTTACATGCACACGTGCACACATGTATAACCACGTGTTCATACAAGCCGACCAGAATACACACGCAGGCACCTCCACAATTCACACACGCAGGCACCTCCACGATTCACACACGCAGGCACCTCCACGATTCACACACGCAGGCACCTCCACGTCACACACGGAGGCACCTCCCCGTCACACACGCAGGCACCTCCACGATTCACACAGGCAAGCACCTCCACGATTCACACACGCAGGCACCTCCACGATTCACACACGCAGGCACCTCCACGTCACACACGCAGGCACCTCCACGTCACACAGGCAGGCACCTCCACGTCACACACGCAAGCACCTCCACGATTCACACACGCAAGCACCTCCACGATTCACACACGCAAGCACCTCCACGTCACACACGCAAGCACCTCCACGTCACACAGGCAGGCAGGCAGGCAGGGCTTCGCGTCGCTCACACTCACGTTCGTCAGCGAATGGGGCCAGGCCCCCCTTAGGTTTCCCCCTTCCTTTCCTGTCGCCGCGCGCCCGCTCTAGGGGCCCCTGGCGCTGGGTCCCGCGCGCCGCCCCCCCGGCGCTAGCGGGGGGCCCCGTGACCCCCCCGTTGAGCGGCGGTGGTGAGTGAGAGCGCAGCGCCAACGCACCTCTCTCCTGCGGCATGGGCGACGCCGGCTGGCTGCTGGGGGGCCGCGGCGGCATCTGGTTACCTGTGGGGGGGCGCAGGGGGGGGTCAAAGGGCAGAGGAGGGGGGCGGCGGGGAGTTGGTGTCAACCGCGACGCTCTCTGCGTTACAGCAATGAAGGCCGCCCTCCTTCACGCCGCGGGTCTCCGTGCGAGTCTGCGGGTCTCCGTGCGAGTCTGCGGGTCTCAGAGCGAGTCTGTGGGTCTCAGAGCGAGTCTGTGGGTCTCAGAGCGAGTCTGTGGGTCTCAGTGCGAGTCTGTGGGCCTCAGAGCGAGTCTGTGGGTCTCAGTGCGAGTCTGTGGGTCTCAGAGCGAGTCTGTGGGTCTCAGAGCGAGTCTGTGGGTCTCAGAGCGAGTCTGCTGGTCTCCGCGAAGAATCGCCGGGTACGAACGTGACGCTACCTGGATTTGCCCACCGCTGCCCGTGTGCATTATACACGGGCCCGCTGGAAAATACAAGCCGGGCCCTCCTCTCGTTGGCCCACGCAGCTGTGCGAGCGCGGCTCGCAAGGGCGTGACGTTCGGGAACCCACAACGGGGTCGCCGCGCAAATGCCAAAGTGGAAAACTGCAAAACGTCATATTTATTTTATCTTACATATATATAATTGCTCTTAATAAAGCACGGTCGCCTGGGGAACCCTTTGCGGAAGAGATAATGAATCTCGATGGGTTCTCACCTGCTCAAATAAGACACTGATTAAGTGAGTGATGGGCGGTGACGGGGGGGTGGGGGGAGGGAAACCGTGGGCCCCGAGCGGCCCACGGCCCGCGCCGAGCCACTCCCTCCCCGCGGCCTCGGCTGTCGAAGGCTCGGCCAAAGCCTCTTTAATTAGCCTCCGCGCCCGCCACTCGTCGCTGCCAAAAGGGGCCGTTCCAGGATTTATCGGCTGGCACGGGGACAGCGGGGTTAACACGGAGCCAGGTTCATTCACAAAAACACGGCCGGCCGGCCGGGCGGCACATAAACACGAACCGCCCTCGGAGCGAACGCCTGGGACGTCACGCAGACAGCAGTCGCCGCCACCGCCGTTTCATCGTCGCAGCGTGCGCCAACGCTCGAATTCCACCCAATTAAAATCAGCTGTTCGCCCACCCCCCCCCCCCCCAATCATAAGAGCCCCCCCCCCCGCCGCCCCCCACTCCTCACTCCTCCTCTCAGGGGATTGAGGTCTGCCAAATCTCCCCGCCCCCGCCGGTGTGTTCCCAGGTTCAACTAGCCAAGGAAACATATGGGCACGCGATGTTTAATAACCACGAGGAGAGAGGGGAGGGGGGCGGAGGAGGAAGAAAACAAACCAGAGAGCCAGGAGGAGAGGAGGGATGATGGCGTAATCACGGGGGCATCACCCCGCCCCGCACAGTGGGGGGGGGGGGGGGGGGGGGGGGTCAGGCAGCGACGGTGTCTTTAGAAGGGAAATAATTTTGATTGGCAGCTCTCCAAACAAATTAACAACGTCGGCATCAGAGGGCCGGCCGTACGCCAAGGGCAGCCCGGCGAGTGGCGATCCGCACGAAACTGCGTCACATGACCACCACCACCACCGCCGCTACTCAACACAACCACCACTCACACCGCCACCACAACTACTCAACACCACCACCACCACCACCACTCAACAGCGCTACAACCACAGGTCTCTGGCTGGTCGCTACGCGTGGCAGAGTGGCCCCCCCACGGACAGTTCAGGTTATTTATTTAAAAGGTAAAGAAGGCGCAGCCCTGCAAATGATGCTCACTCACGCAACTCCCTTCTGCAATTTCTCACTCAAGGAGCCTGAACTCGAGCAGAGCTCCAGAGCTCCATTTGGTCTCCTCTTCCACGCTGGACAGATGTTGGAAGCGGTGGGCGTGCCCACACTTCACACCCGAGCACACGCGAACGGCCGATCGACTGAACTGCGCCGAACTCGTCCCAATGTTTCCGCTGCCGTGCCGGGTAGACGGGACCGAGCCTCCGGAATCCTGGTCCGGAGTGCCGGCCGGGCATTGCACCGCGGCGGCAGGTCACCCGTGGTCTCGCGTAAAGAGCGAGGGCGGCCGCCCCTCCTGCAGACACGGGTTCGATCTTCAACGTAGCCCCGCCCCTCACCCCATTAACCCCGCCCCTTCCGCCCATTAGCCCCGCCCACCCGACAGGCCGGCGGGCACCCACCCCATCCCCACCCCCGCCGGGCCGCACCTGTGGCGGGTGACAGCGGCCCGGAGCGAGGCTGGCTCACGCTGGCCGGGGAGCCGGCGGGCGAGGGCGAGGGCCCGCTCACGCCCGACAGGTGCGGGGAGGCGTGCGGCGAGAAGGGCGACTGCGCCGGGTTGCTCGCCTCCCCCTGGCTGCCGGACGCCACAGAGCCGGGACCGCTCGCCTGCCCGCTGCCGCCGCCGCCGCCGCCGGGACCGTCCCCGCCGGACGCCGCCGACCCGGCCGCGGCGGCGGCGGAGGAGGAGGAGGAGGTCGGCCCGCCAGCGGAGGCTCCCGCCGAGCCGGGGCCCGACCCCGGAGGGCCGGGCCCTCCCGGGCCGGACCCGCCGGCGCCGGCGGGTCCGGCGCCGCCGCCGCCGCCGCCGCCCTGCAGCGACTCGGCGGCGCCCTGCAGGCCGTCTCCGCCCGTGGGGAGGTCGTCGATCGCCCCGGACAGGTCCTGCAGGCACAAGGGACACGTGGAGACACACGCAGAGATATGAAGACTTGGAGACACACGCACAAAGACAAAGATCCCCCCGTATAACTTCAACACTGTTGGGACCAAGTGCTGTTACCGAGCACCTATGAAGTCCGGCACTGCACACGAGAGGGTGCGTGGCTAGCACTGCGCCTTTGCCTCCCGAGTGGCGATGTTTACACACCACACCGGGTACTCATTTGAGGCCGAGTCGACCTAGGCGAGGCCCAGGATCGGTTCAGTTAACCATCACCAGTGTTTTTGGCCGTGAGCAGGAATCGAACATGGGTCGCCGGGTTTATAGCGTTACGCGCTCACCGCTGCACCACCGCTTCCCACACATGCACACACACAAATAAACAGAAACACCGACCCCATGTAGACCTTCGTACACGCGCGTGATTAAACATTTGTAACGCACGCACAAGTACACGCTGCGATTGGGTCGCCCTGGCAGGAGAGGCCACAACGTTCCGTGCTGCCCTGTGCCACCTTGTGCCACACGGGGGGTGGCACTCGACTGGGTGGGCATAGCCCGCTGACTACGTGGTGATGCTCCCTCCTGTGTGCGACCACGGCTAGCAACTCCAAACTGTGGACCATGTAGCTTTGCACCGGAGGTGGGGGTGGGTGAGTGCGTGGGTGGGTGAGTAGGTGGGTGCGTAGGTGGGTGTGTGGTTGGGCGAGTGGGTACGTGGTTCCTTGAGTGGGTGGGCGAGTGGGTGGCTGAGACAGTGGGTAGGTGAGTGGGTGGATGAGTGAGTTAGCGGATCTGCAATTCCCCAACTCTCCAACAAAGCAACTGATTGGCTACATCGCTTACGACTGCCCGAGACGTCAGCGGGCGGCACCGTCCCCGCTACTCCGCCGTGCAATCTCCCGGCTCCGCCATCAGATGGCGATGTTTGGGAGCTGCGTGGGTCGGGCGACGCTCGGCGGCGGAGGAGGGGGGGGGGGGCGGAACGGCGCCACGCGCGCTGCCGAGCGGCACTCCGAACGGCCGGCGGGGCCCCGCGCGAGGCCCCGCGCGAAGCCCCGCGTTCACCGGGGGGGCAGCCTCCCTCCCGTCCGCATCGCCCACACGGCTGCCCTCCACTCAGCAGCCATGTTGTGCTTCTGCAGACAGCCTCCCCTACCCACCTCCTCTCGCTCACGTGCGCACAAAGCACGTGGGCACCAGGCTTGGCCGTGCCGAGCATCCAAACAGCCAAAGGCTCCGTCAGCATTGTCGTTTGAGGATGCACAGCCAGACTCTGCGTGTGCTGTGTCAGGCGCGGAGGGGGGGGGGGGGGCATCTGCTCGCCACGTGGACCGCGAGGACGGGGAAAACGCTCCTGGCGATTGTGAAGAAGAGCTTCATAGCTCATCGGATTCCTACAGTCCGAATAAAGATTCCGGTTCTGGAACGCGAGCTGGCACGGAGACGCCGGCGCAGCAACGGGGGCCGCGGGGGGGGTGGGGGGTTCAACGTCGCAGCGAGGAGCCCCGAGAACATGGTGCTCGCGCGGTAGCCACGAGTCCAATCACCCACGGCGGCCACATTGTGGGTGCAACGGTCAGGGCTGCATGGGCGGCGGTGCCCCTTACATGGCGCACGCACGAACAGCCCCCACCACCACCACCACACTCCCCCTGGGCACCTCCGATTGGCACGGTTGGCTACGTACGGTGCGGAAGAAGTTCAACACACACACACCCACAAGGCCTTGCCTCGGCCTTAGGCCAGTGCTGGAAGCCACCCCACCCACCCCCCTGGCCTTCACCAAGCACATTCAGGAATTATCGATCATTCAGTCAGCTGAAAATCGGATTCACAAATCCGAAGGAGGGGGTATCATTACAGCGATGATGATGATGATGCACCACTCCGCTACTCCCTATGCAATTATCTGGCTTATCAGCCTCCTCGATGTGACGTTACAGCTGTTGCTCTTTACATAAGCAGCAGCAGCCGCCGCCGTACGAGGGAGGATCAGAAGCTGACGTGGGGCTTTGCGAGGTCAGGCCTCGCAAAACTCGGTCTCGCAAGGTGGCCGGGTCCCTCGGGGGTGGGGGACCGGGGTGGGAATGTGGCCGACCGGGGCCATGCCAGGCCAGGACCTGCTGACCCCTCGCTGCACTGCCCCCGTGACCCCACACTGGGGTCAATACGCTAATTGTGACAAGCCATTCCACGTGGCCGTTTGTCACGGCAATTACCAGGATCGTTAACAGCCTCTGGGAGGCCTGACACGAAATACCACCAAGCGGAAAACCCACACGCACGCACACGCACGCACGCACACAAAGATCCTCCATATAGCCTTAACAGACTGTTGGGGCAAGTGCTGTTTGTGTGTACCTATGAAGGGCAGCCAACACCATGCCTGGCCGCCTTTGTCTCCCCAGTGTTCACGTCGAACTGGGTTTCGCTGGGCTCGTAGCGGTCGGTGCACTTGCACAAATGCGCGGCACAGCGTTTCCCCGGCAGGACGCGCCACGGCCGCGAGGGGGGGGGGGGAGGGGGGGGGGGGGCAAAAGGCCGGTGGTCAAGACTAACAACGGAGCGGCAGACGAGGATTAGAACGCGTGGAGAGGAACGTCTCCCGCAGAGATGGAGCGATGAAGCCGGGTCCCTGTGCGGGCGCCGGATCCGACTGTCGCAGGATCACGAGAGACGGCGGGGCGGCCCGAGGGAGTCCTTCGTCTGGCAGCGGACAGACCGTGGCCGATGGCGACGATGGGACGAGGGCCGTCCGTGTTGCTGCCGTCACGACGGTCGTCGTCAACTGGAGTCGGACGCGGCACGGGCGCGCGCGGGCCCCACGGCGGCACGTGGGGGTCACCCTGCCAGCGCTCCGCTCCGCTTCCTCCGCTACCCCCTGCCCTCACGGCGCGTCCGGGCCTGTCGCCACCGCGATTAACGGCACAGCGTGGCAGCCGCACGCCGGATTACGATCGGGGTCGGGGGCGCACGGGACGAGGGGAGACCGGGGGAGGGAGGGATGGGGTGGCGGCAGCGGGGGGTGGGGGGCGGTGGTGCTAGGCGGGCAGGGTGCACGGAGGCGCCGCGTGCGATCGCGGGGAGTCGCGCGGCGCCGTTAAGCAAACGGGCGCTAGCGCGCTTAACGAGCGCCTCGTTAGCGGAGCTGCGGCCCGGAGGCTCCGGCCCTTAATGGACTCGGCGTCCCCGCGCACGCACACACGGCCGCCGCACCGCACGGCTCACAAACCGCCCCCCCCCCACCTCCCCAGCAACGTCCCAGGTGGAGCGTGTGGCCGTGCCATACGCTCCACCTGGGAGCGGCGGCACGCGTGCTACTCGTACGTGGCAGCGAGATGTTAACTACCTCACCTGGTGTACAGGAGGTCGTGGGTTTCGATACCCACTCTGACGCCTGCTGCTGTATATTTGGAGTTTGCGCGTCTCTCTCCCTGTGTTCGCGTGCATTTTTCTCCGGGTCCTCCGGTTTTTCCCTCCGCACTTAGAATCGACGTCACGCGTTCTAGGGTATTTACGCTGCTACAAATATCCACGTGATAAACCACTTGGTTCATGCTATTATTTCTGGCCAGGTCGCTTGTGAAACCAAGAGCTCAGTGGGCCTTACCTGGTCAAATAAAAAGTTTAATTTAGTTTAGACCGCCTTGCCGTCATCCTGCCTCGTGCCCTTCAGCCCCTTCCTTCGTCTGGGCGGAGTGGAGGGGGAGGTGTTGGTGGGCCTGAGTGTTTTCGTGTCCGCACGCCGCTTCGACCCTAGCAGCCGCAGAGGCAACACCGGTCACTGTGGTGACCCAGGTCGACGCACGAGGTGGCGGACAGTCACTCGTCCCGGCCTCCTCCCGAGTTCTCCCCGAGTCCAACAGAGTCAACCCGACACTCCGCCAGCCGCCTCTCCACCACCACCTCCCCCTCTCCCCTCCCACTCCTCCCCCCCCCCTCCCCTCTCGAACAGCGATTCCATCTGGACGTCCCGCTTCAGCGTCCACAAAGCCATTAATTTCCGTCCGTTTCGTTTTCCCATCTCGTTTGTATTGTTTTCGCCAGCTCCATTCATCCTCGACGTGGCATTAGCATATTGCTCGTAATCACGGCAGCGATAATGGCGCTTGAATTTATGTCGCGCCCGTTATGTCACAAAACGTCTCGCGGCGCAGTTGTGTTCATAGCCTCGGGAGGTGGGGGGGGGGGTTGAGGTAGGTGAAGGGGGTGGGGGGGACCCCAAGCGGCAGCTGTCCCTGTGCGGCACAAAGCCGCTCGCGGGCGCCATACCCGGCCACGCGCTTGCGCGCCACAGTGTGACGCGGGCTCGGCTCTCTCCGACGCACGCGTGCATCCACGCGTGCGTCGCGGGAGCGAGGATCGGCCCGAACAGATGAAGCGATCCTCTTCCCGTGGAGCTCTACTCCACGGGACGAGGTCGCGCAGCCATACGGCCGCCACGCTCGCCCGCACCGCGAGAACGTGCGCAGAAAACGGGGGGCACGGCGATTTTGTTTACAGAGGCAGTCGGTCACGGGTCTCTACGTGGGTCAGTAGGTCTCTGAGAGAGTCTATGGGTCTCTATGTTGGTCTATGGGTCTCTACGTGGGTCAGTAGGTCTCTGAGAGAGTCTATGGGTCTCTATGTTGGTCTATGGGTCTCTACGTGGGTCAGTAGGTCTCTGAGAGAGTCTATGGGTCTCTATGTTGGTCTATGGGTCTCTACGTGGGTCAGTAGGTCTCTGAGAGAGTCTATGGGTCTCTATGTTGGTCTATGGGTCTCTACGTGGGTCCCTAGGTCTCTGAGAGAGTCTATGGGTCTCTATGTTGGTCTATGGGTCTCTAAGTGGGTCAGTAGGTCTCAGAGAGTCTATGGGTCTCTATGTTGGTCTATGGGTCTCTACGTGGGTCAGTAGGTCTCTGAGAGAGTCTATGGGTCTCTATGTTGGTCTATGGAACTCAATGCGAGTCAATTAATGCCTACGCGAGTCTATGTGTCTCTGTGTGAGACCGCATCT